CAGTGAGTTCCGCTTAATGTGATCACTGGTTTATAGAATCAACCGTTTATTGGAATCAAAAATGAAAATCCCAAACAAAATATTATATTGAAAAAAAAAGTGCTTTATGGAATCGACTGGTTAATAGAATCAAAATGGTCTGAACCATTGCGATCACACTAAGCGGTACTCACTGTATTTGCAAACGTTTTCGAGAGGAAATTAGATCCTTGATCCGTGAGTATTGTTTCTGGTATGCCGTGTACACAAACGAAGTGGTAACAAAGGCTTCCGCAACAGTATTTGCCTTTTGTGTTTCTAATTTTTCGAGAAATTGTTCGTATGATTCGTTTTTTATTTCCTGAATAGAATACATGCGTGTGAGTGCATCTACATTTGAACATAATTAGATAGTATGATCTGTACATTTATATTTGGACAATATTAACCATAGTTATTTATTTTATTTAACTACAAAATTTCAGTATTTTTTTTCCATGGACAGTAAGTCAGTAAATGCCTAAGGAAATGTTACAAATTAGGTAATTTAATTGATTTCCTAAGTATAATAATTTGATGTAATTATACAATTTTATATACTATAAATATACTATTATATACTATTTATCATTTTGCCAATAAATTTTACTAAAAAAAACTCATAGAATACATAAATGTGTTTAAAAAAACAATATAACTTTTTTAAATATATATAAATAAAAATACAACTTTTACTTCTTTGTAATTTTTAAAATGTTTTTAATGAAAAATGGTAAAAAAAATACCTAATAAGTAATAATAGAATAAAATAAATAAATGTGTAAATAAAAATCATATACAAATGCTTTTAATGTACACAAGTATTCAAGAATAGTTTAAAATAAACAATATAACTTTTAAATATATATAAATAAAATAAAAAATAAAAATACAACTTTTACATTTTTATGTATTGTAAAACAAATACTTAATAATAGAATAAAACAAATAATTTTATGAATTAGTCTTTTGTATCATTTGCCAGTTAGCAGAAGTATTTAATGGCATCGGATCCGTTGATTGCAATCTATGTGTTCGAAACTCAGCACTGTTACGTGCAGACCCGGCTTAATCAGCCGCACCGGGTGAGCGTGCCGTTGGCGTTCAAAGTGCGAACGCCGATAAGAGTTGTCGCCGTTGGACGAAAGCTGCGCGCCCGTGCAACCGTTCCGGTGTTCTCAGTACTCAGTACTTCGCGGAGCGAGCGGATGACATCTTGCCTGGCGTGTATCGTTTTGTCGTTGGCCACGGGTTTGTCCTTGTATCCGCTCGTCCGTTCTCTGTGAGTAAACGCTGAGTCAATGTGCTGTGCGTTCGACTAGTAGCCGAGCTTTAGCTTGAAGTGGGTGCTTAAAACCACTGCCGTGCGTCGTTCGCGTAAATATAACGCGTCGACGTTGCCGCTGCTGGACTCGAGAGTGCAAAGCGCCGCCAGACTTGTCATTAATATAACGCGCCGCCGGCTTCCGAGGGACCAGTCTACTGGCCGCCGCACGTGCAGCCACCATCTGCGCGAGTACACTGTCGGTCAAGGTCGCCGCCCGCGGACAACATCACGGGCACTGCAGCCGACGCCACCCACCTCCGCTCAACTGCCGTCGTCGTTCGGTATCGATCACAATTGTATTGTCATTGTGTATTATTGTACCTACTAGCTTTACCATTATTATCACTCTCTAGTGCGAGCCATTCTGTTATTATTATTGTTATTGTACGCTGATACGGGGAGACGTCTCCGTCTGCCCATTCTTTTTTGTTATTATACTCAAACTCACCATAATATACTGTGTTCAAAGATAGCCACCTAAATGTGGTCTATAATATATATTAGGGTTTAACGGTGTTACCTTAACTCCCTACACTCTCGTCATCCGATTCGCTGGGCTGAGCAGTAGCCCGACGGTGCCAAAACACTATGAAACTCTTGATGAAGTAGACCGGGTGGATAATTCAAATATGTTGGAGTTGACATTGGTGGATAAGTTTGAATTGTACCTGAATTTTTTACTTCAATCATCATTGCCAACACTCTAGATCGAAAAATCAATTTTAGATAATTATTGAATTGTCTTAGGGTAGGCAATAATGAATCCAAAAAAGATTTATCTTCGTCTTCTTCTGAGCTTTTTCTTAAAGCTTCTAAAAATTCTTCTTCGAATGCATCTGTTTTTTGCTTCTTGGGTCCAGTGTTTTTTTTTCTTTTCTATGGTTCATTTGTGTTGCATGTCGATAGTTCTTCTTCTTCGTCTACGTCGTGTTTAATTTGATTACCTTCTTCACATACATCAATACTATCATCATCATCATTATCGAGGTTTGATTCTGTTCTATACGTTACATTGGAAACAGTAAATTAGATAATACAAATTTTATTATAGATTACATACAAGTCTGGATTAAGGGTAGGGGGGGGGCATTGATTTTGGAGGCCCATTTTTATTTTTAAAATATATTTTTTTAAGGCATCCGTCTAAAACAATTTTCAAAAAAAAAAAATTAGTATATTATAGTAGGTAAGTTATTATTATCTAATAATTATAAAATTAAATTGTACTCAATATTTTTATATCACCAAAAATTAACATAAATTATGAACTATGTTTTCAAACAATTTTGTTTTTATGTTTTTTAGCATTTTAGCATTTTAGCATTTTAGATTACCAATTTAACTATTTAAGTGTATAAAAAGGTAGTTATAAGAAACAACTATTTAGCTCTTGTAATTGGGTATTTCAGTTAAAAGTATTAATGCATGTTATACTAAACTTTAGAGGACTATAGTTAATAAATTAGCGAACCAAAATTTAACATTCAAAATGTCCAGAAAAAAATTTTACCATTCGAAATATAGTCATTTTTGCTATTGATGAACTGCGTGTTTAAAAATTTTGAAAATGTTATAAAAAAAAATTACCTGTTAAAAAAAACACGTCTTTTTTTGTTTTAACGAAATTTCATACCATTGGTTCATAATAATTGTTAAAAAAAAACCTGGGTACAATGACATAAGTTACACTCTGTATATTTTTTGTATAGGTAGTACAAGTTATATAATAATATAAAGTCGTTAATATGTTACAATTATTTTGAAGTTAAAGTTGAAAGGGTGTATGGTGTCCCGGGGCCCAATTGATCCTTAATCCGGGCTTGATTACATAACAAATTGTTTAAATTTGTTAACTTACCTATTTGGTTCTACCAAGGATTCAAGAAATTGTAGTTGTTTATCATAAACATATTCCTTTTTTTTTTTTTGAAGCTGATCCAGACTTCAATAGTTTTTTGTTTGTCATTGATCTAATTTTTGCAACCCTTACAATTTTCCACCTTTGTTGGACTTTATCAACTATAATATGTAGGCAAAACATGTAATAATATAGGTATTAAATAAATAAAATAAACAAAATAACAACTGTTGTAATTGTAATTTTATTTTATTAAATACTCGTACATTTCTGTAGGTACCTATTTATATAGGGTGTTTCATTATGAACGTCGGATTTAATTTGCCCGGTATTTTTTGTTTTTTGTGTTAAATTACCTGTTTCTTTTAGCATTGTTATTTATAAACTCTCCGCAATAAAACGCGGTAAAGGTCTCAACGATAAAATTTTGTTTTATTAATTTATTTCGCTTGTTTCTAACGTACTGTTTGTAACCATAGTGCGACTGAGTTTACAAGAACGAGTTTTAGTTGTTAAGATTTTTTATTGCCATAGTGAAAGTTATGCTGAAACAGTGCGCCAACTTAGACAGATTATGGGTTGAAATGAGGCTCCTAATGAGTCAACAGTTCGTCGATTGATGTTAAAGTTCAAACAAACTGGCTCAGTGCAAGATGTCAAAACTCCAACGCGCCAACGCAGTCACAGATCACCTTTGAATCAAGCAATTGTTTTTGACAGTGTTTTGACACTGGTAGATGGTAGAAAACCATCTTCTGAGCCGATATGGAGTACAATAAGGCGTTTGCCCTTGCCCGAGAGATTAACAGCACCGGTCGATAGACCTTTTAGGAATGCGTCCCGATGAAATCGTACCGTTGTGTCAACCCACGTTTTTGATGTACAATCGCCAGCATTCACCCATGTTTCGTCGAGGAAATAAATATGTCGACCTTCTTCACGATATTGTTTAATGTTTTCCAAATAACATCTGCGCCACCCAACAATTTCATTTTTTTCAGTCATCGCACTGTTCCTACTGCGTTTATTGTACCGTAAATCTAAATCTTTTAAAAGATGAAATAAATTGGTACGCGATATTGATGGCAAACTGTCGTCGGCGGATACGGCTTGGTGGATTTTATCAACCGTCGGAATTTCACGACGAAACCAAATGCTATGCACGTGCCTGCGTACTGCGTTTTTTGAAAATTCGTCAAAAAGATCGCGGAAAGATTTTTTCTTACATGTCTGTTTTGGAGCAGCCACCGTGTTTGTCTCCTTGTATGTAGAAATTATTGTCTGGATTGAACGTTCGCCAATACCCAATGTTTCCGATATTTGTTTTCGAATTTGTCTCACTTTCGTTCATTATGATAGTTTTGTACATATCCACAATCCGGATTCTTACTTCCTCACTTATAGCCTGAAATAAAAATATTTAAAAAAATAAGTCTTAATAAAAATGCTGTCTTGGAGGACTTATTTGTAACTAAGAACCATATACTATTTTATTTAAATACTTTTAAAATTTAAAAAAAAATTATGATAACTTATTTATATTATATATAATACTCACTTTTCCCATTTTATGCTTTTTAATTGGTGATGGGACATATTGAGCATCTTCATCACTAGAAATGTTTGCCATGTTGAATGAATAATTCACAAAAAAATATTTAAAAAATAGCAAGTTACAGAGAGTACGCGGTGTTTTTTTATATGTTACGGAATGAACGCGTGAATCACTTGTGGTACTGAAAACGTGTGATATTATTGTTCACTACGTATACGCCTGCGGTGCGTCGGCGGTGGCAGCACGGCAAACATGAGAGCTCACCGTGGCAACAGACATGCGCGAACCAGACGAGTTTTCATCGGCCGAGTGGGCAAGGTTATTCTGAATAGAGTATAGTTCGAAGGAAACTGATAACGAACCAGTAGACAACACAACAATAGTTGATGATAAGGAATTCCTTATTATTAATTGATTTAAGTACAAAAGGTTACCAATATTTCAAAGATTTCGATAGGGAAAAATACTTAAGAGCTATAAGGGAAAAAGATTTATTGAATAAAAGCATACGACCGATAATAGTAAATGAAACCGAGCTACGACAAATAGGAACTCGAACGCAGAAAGGAATAGTACATACGCAGTTAGGACCCGTTAAGCGAAATAGAAAAACCAAAATGCAAGGAAAAATTCCATTAGACAAAGCCACCCTTATGATTCCCACATGTACCGGCGAACGGGACTTATACCAATTCATTAAAGCTTGCGATTTGGCTTGTTCAGCAGAAGAAAGGGAAGACCTACCCATACTTACGAAATTTATTAATACCAAGTTGTTCGGCCAAGCTCTAAATGTATGTCGATATAGGGACACTAGCGATTGGGAAGGTATTAAACTAATTCTATTAGATGCATTCGAACCCCAACAATCAAAATCGTCATTACAAGTGGCACTAAATTCCGTGCGAAGTAACGAAGACGTAGGTGCATATGCGCGAAGGGTAGAACAATTATATTTCAATCTATGTGTAGCAAGTACAAAAGGTAAAACTACAGAACAGGCAAATACAATCCGCGATCAGTTAAAGGAACAGACATTGGTAGTTTTCATTAAAGGGTTAATACCTAGTTTAAAGACCATCGTGAAATCTCAAAAACCACCCACTTTAGAATTAGCTATCCAGGTTGCTAAGGACGAAGAGACTGAGATTAAGTCTGAGTCCGATGCATACCAATATTATGGAGGCAATAGTTCAGGTAGACAAGTAAACAACTCCACCAGGGATACCAATAATTCTAATAGGCGGAATAATAATTTTAATAATCGTTATAATTACAATTCATCCAATAATAATAGACCGAATCATAGCAATGACAATTCACAGAGACAAAATTACAATCCTAGAGATTCGAATTATATTAGACCACAGTACAATCGAAATCCGAATTTTAATAGACCTGACATAAATCAAGGTAATAGGAACAATTTCAACAATAATCAATACCAGCCTCGCAACAATAATAATTTTAATCGCAACAATGATTATAATCGTAGTAGTAATTATCGGAATAATAACAACGCAATAGGTAATATACGATGTTATCAATGCGGAGGCAATCATTTTGCCCGGGATTGTGTACAGCATCGTAATAGTAACAATTCGCGTCCATCTAACAATAATTTCACGCGACAGCCTACTAATTACAACGCTCCTGTAGACGTAATATGCACGTATTGTAAAAAATCTGGACATGACGTTACCAAGTGTTTTAGGAAACAGAATAACGATAGGTACAATAATAATTCGGGAAACTTGCCGAGATCGGGCGACATGAGTGGCGCTCGCCCGATAAATTTGATAGTCACGGTCGAGGAAGATTTCGACAATGCCTACACATCGTATCAGTCTTAAACAACAATCATGTCACTTGCCAGTCTGTCAATATAAGAAAAGAATTTATAGAATTGCTGATAGATACTGGAAGCGATGTTAACTTAATAAAATTTAGTGCTTTGACAGGTGACACACTAGTACATGAAAGCAGAAAAATATATTTAAAAGGAATTAATGATAAGATAGTGTCAACAGTAGGACAAATTAAGATAACTTTAAGGTTTAATGACGTTAATATTGAAACGGTGTTTCAAGTAGTACGTGATTCGTTTCCTATACCTAAGGATGGTATTTTAGGACAACAATTTTTAATCCAAAATAAGGCAGTTATTGATGTAGCTAATAATTCGTTAATAATAAATAATAAGATAGTCAATAAGATAATTAAGGAAAAATTATGTTTTAAGTTGAACCCACGAATGGAAACAGTGGTATCTATACCAATTGCCGATCCGGCCATGGAGAATAAAGACATTATAGCTTATAAGCAGGAATTAATAAAGGATGTATACTGTACCAATGTAGTAGGAACAGTAAAATTAGGAAAAGTCATAGTTAGTATATTAAATGTTTCTGAAGTAACGAAGGAAATAAATGAAAGTGTAATGAATCGAATATTATATGATACCGCGACGAGTTATAATATACATACGGTACATGCCGTGATTAACAACGATAATCGTGTAAATAGAATCCTTAATTTAATACGAAGTGATCATATGAGCATTGATGAGCGAAAATCCATTTTTGAAATATGTGAGCAATATTCCGAAATATTCCATTTAGAAGGCGATCGACTCACTTTTACAAATGCAGCTGAGCATGTCATTAATTTAAACGTTAATCAACAACCCATTTACCAAAGACCATATAGGTTACCACATTCACAACAATCTGAAATTAAACAACAGTTAGATAAAATGGAACAGGGTGGAATTATAGAACCTTCTAGTTCACCTTGGAACGCCCCGCTCTTACTTGTTAAGAAAAAACTGGATGCAAGTGGTAAAGAAAAGTTTCGCATCGTGATAGACTTTAGAGCTTTAAATCAAGTGACTTTGAATGAATTTCATCCCTTACCTAACATCACGGAAATACTCGATCATTTAGGACAATGTCAATTGTTCAGCGTGATTGACCTTGCCTCAGGCTTTTATCAAATTCCGTTATCAGAATCTTCACGTGAACTTACAGCTTTTTCTGCGAATAATGCACACTACCACTTTAGGCGAATGGCGATGGAGATGAAAACTAGCCCCTCGACATTCCAGAGACTTATGGATAATGTATTATCTGGAATAATTGGAATTAAATGTCTAGTATATCTTGACGACATAATTATTTATGCGAAAAATTAGATAGACCACAACAATAAGTTAGTAGGTGTATTCGAGCGATTACGAACGCATAACTTAAAGATTCAACCAGATAAATGCGAGTTTGTTAAACGGGAATGTATATACTTAGGGCATGTTATATCTGAAACAGGAATAAGACCGGATCCAAAGAAAATCCAAGCTGTTCTTGATTTCCCTGAACCTAAAAATATAAAACAAATTAAATCATTAATAGGATTATCTGGATATTATGGGAAGTTCAATAGCTAGGCCTATAACGAATTTATTAAAGAAAGATGTACCGTTTATTTGGAATGAAGACTGTGATAGGGCTTTTGGAAAATTAAAACACGCTTTATGTACGGGCGAATGTAAGTTCCCACACGAGATATAGCAGGTAAAAATAACCTCTGGATATCCATACGTAAGTTCCCACACAAAAAAAATTACACTTGTATGTAAGTTCCCACACGAAATTTCAGACACATAATAATGTTTATATACATTGCTTATAATTTTAACTTTTAATTCGTTAATGCTCAGCCTTGCCAAACACAAACTTCCATCCCACTTTATTCAGACTTAGGACAACTGACAACTTAAACGTAGTTGGTGTGGTTAAAATTTGTTTTGTTTTTATACTGCATAAAAAAAAGTCCAATTGAATCTAGTCCGCATAATATATAATAAAAATTAATAATATAATGTGTATAATATTTGTATATGTATAAAATAAAAATAATAATAGAAAAAATCAAATTTTATTAGGTTTATTGCGATAGCTCAAACACTATATTGTAAAGTGTTATTAGATCAAACAAAATGTGATTTTTTCTATTATTATTGTTTATTTTATACCTATACAAATAATGTGTGGAAGAAGAAAAACAAAATAAAATATCAGATTGACTATGTGAGTATTTGACTATGTGAAGTGTTTGAGCTTTCGAAATAAACCAAATAAAATTTGATTTTTTCTATTATTATTATTATTATTTTATACCTAAAAAAATTTCGTTTAAGTTGTCATTCCTAAGTCTTAATAACTTAACTTACGTACAGTTGTAATTTTTTCCGTGTGGGAACTTACGTACGGGCGTATTTTTTTTCGTGTGGGAACTTACGTACCGGCGTATTTTTTTCGTGTTGGAACTTACATATGTACTCGCTTACCTGCTATGTTTCGTGTGGGAACTTACCAAACCCCTTATGTACAGAACCTGTATTGCAATACCCAGATTTCACGAAAGAATTTATATTAACAACAGATGCTAGTGGGAAAGCGTTAGGAGCCATACTATCTCAGGGGGAAATAGGAAAAGATCTGCCCATAGCTTACGCTTCAAGGACTTTAAGTCCAAGTAAATCTAATTACTCCACAACAGAACTAGAATGTTTAGCTATCGTTTACGGAATTAAGCAATTTAGACCTTATTTATATGGAAGGAAATTTACTATCTTAAACGATCATAGACCACTAGCTTGGTTATTTAATTTAAAGGATCCTTTATCAAAATTAGCTAGGTGGAGGATACAGTTAGAACAGTACGATTATGTTATTAAATATAAACCGGGAGTACAAAATGGTAACGTAGATGCTTTATAAAGAATGTTCACTATACAAGATATAAAGGAGGAAAGCTATAATAATTTGCTTGTAAAATTCGAAACCACATTGATAACCAATGGAAACGTTAAGGAAGTACATGGAGAATTGTTAGAATCACCATCTGACTATCACATAGTTACTGAAATAGAAAAGTATTATAACTTCAGGACGGGAACAAATTACGAAATAAAGCAGAAATTCGGGGATACTGTTATCTTGAAATCAAACAAACAAGTAGGCGAAGTAACAAAAGTTAAACACGAAGATAGATATATAATATTCTTAGTAACCAAAAGTAAGGCTAAACAGATCACTACGTACGAAAATCTATATACAGCTCTATTAAATCTAAAACGTTTCTTCGAAAAACATTCTCTGAATAAGCTCATAATGAAACAGTTAGGCAGACAGGACGGTTTAGAACGGGAAAAAGTTAGAGCCATGATTATGTATATATTTAGAAACACTCGAATAGAAATATTAATTTGCTCAAAGATGGAATATTCAGAAGTAGAAAAGTTGATTATATTCAAACAATTTCATGACTCAGTACTTGGAGGACATGCAGGAATAAATAAAACAATTAGGAAAATAAAACGTCAGTTTAATTGGCGTGGGCTCAAGTCTGATGTTAAGGATTACATTCAGAAATGTGAGTCCTGCCAAAAGAACAAAGTCACGAATAGGAAAGTTAAACAACCCATGGTTATAACCACCACAAGTTCAAAGCCATTCGAAAAAATATTTCTAGACATAGTAGGACCATTAGTAACTAAACCAAATTTTCATTGGGAGTACCATTACCAAATCACACAGCCCATACTGTCGCTGAAGCTTTTGTCGTACATTTTGTTTGTATTCATGGAATGCCAGAGAACATATTAACTGATCAAGGGACAGATTTTTTAAGTAAAACATTCACAGAAGTATGCAAACTTTTAAAAATTAATAAGATAAATACTAGCCCGTATCATCCACAGACCAATGGGGGATTGGAGAGATCACACAGAACTTTAGCCGAATATCTTAGGCATTACGTAGACAAGGATTTAAACACCTGGGATCAATCATTACCTTATGCGTTATTCGTTTATAGTTCAACAGAACACTCATCCACAAATTATCAGCCATATACCTTGTTGTATGGAAAAGAAATAAATATTCCAGTAAATTTGAAAAGTAACCCCGAACCTAGATACAATTACGATGATTACCTGTATGATTTGAAACTAAGAATGCAGGAATCTCATAAAATCGCTAGGGAAAGATAAATCAAAAAGAAAATCAAATAAAAAGCTAATTATGATAGTAATGCACATAGTGTAGAGTTGCATGTAAAAGACTATATATTTTTAAGGGATAATACCCAAAGAAATAAATTGACACCGTTATGGAAAGGGCCTGAAAACCCGAATTGAAACTCTAATTCTAGTATTATTAATTAAAATTCTATGTAAGGTAAGATCTTTAGTTTCTTTCACAAAATCTGACATATAGTCATTACTATCGAGTGGTTTCTCTTTTCCATAGTATAGGCCAACAAGAAAAACAACTTTAGTTAATAATGTAGCTTCTTCTATAATATACTCTAGTATAGGCCAAAACTGACTGTTATTACTTTTAGTCAATGGTAATCCGTCAATACCTATGACAACCTGAATTTGGTTAATATTTGATGAAGCATGTTTTAGAATTCCGTTAGCTAAACCAAAATGGTGATATATTCCAGGTTTAACAGTACGAATTTCTTTAGAAATATCAGATGGAATTTTCAATAATGTACGTGCATCAGATGAAGGTTCTTTAGACTATTATCAATACTGTATTGGTGGTTTTTTAAACCATTCAATAAGCCATTTACTGCATAGTGAGAAATTTTAAACTCTACTGCCCAATTAAATAAAAATGAGTTAATAGTTGATATTTGTGGTGACAAAGTTGGTAAATCTGATATTGAGTAAGACTCAGCTACTGGAGTAATGTTTTCAAATGAATCATCAGAAACTTGAGAAATTGTTGGAGACCGAGGTGGAGAAACTATGGCAGTATCATGGCATCATTATTTCCGAATACAACATTATAATTTGAAACTGGTATTTTTTGTTTTTGGAATATGTTTATATTTTGTCCTTCATACGGTTCAATGTTTTGTCCTTCGGATAACTTGGAAGCACATTCATCTAACTCACAGTTTGAATATATTTCCTCAAATAAATGTATTTCTTGTCTAGTTTTTCTTCTTTTGGTTCTACTACTTTTAATCATTGTTTTTAATACTTTTTTTTTTTTTCTTTACGTGATATCGAAGACCAGAGGAGGAACCAATTTTGCCAATACTTCTCCTCCGGCCCCAATACTTCTCCTTCGGCCAAATACTTCTCCTTCGACCTTGTTTTTAATGCCTACAGAAATTGTTAATTATTTTAATGTAAATAGGTAATTAAAAATTAAATCTAATTTATCGTAATAATTTGTAGACTGTTATGGACAATAATGTGTCCCAGGGTAAGTCATTAGCCAAGTCAAAAAAAACTTCTTTTAAAGAGAACTGTTTTGTTATTTTTTATAGTTATGGGCAATTCAATAAATCATAATTTATAGGTAAGTATAGGTAGGTATAGGTATGATACGGTACGCAACCGACGACGAGTACAAAGTACAGGCGGCGGAGCTACCTATCTGCACTTCACAAACCGCCACCACGGGCTACAAGCGCGACATCGCCAACTCTCCCACCACGCCGCAAAGGCAAGGCGGGACGGGGAGGCAAGGCGCGTAGGATGAGTACCGGCCGCCGGCTCTCTCTCGTCTTTCAACCACCGTCACGGTAAAAACGTCTCTACGAAACGCGACGCAACGCATCCGTCTTCGTACACCGAAAACGTATTTTTCCACCCGACCACGGGTCTTTCTGTTTTTGGTTTACGTTTAATAAACGCCACCCGGCACCTACACAATCCACCACTCGTGTTAACCGTTCTTTTCTTCATAAAGTGCTAAGTTGTGCGTTTGGGCCGAGTGCATCAACACACACACCCACGACAACGACCGGCCTACCATCCTACCCGTGTAGCCGCGTGAATTGGCTCCCCGCTGAGGATATCTCCCCAAGTCATCACCACCTCAAGACAGCGAAAAGGTAAGAGTTTTCACGCTGACACATACCTCGGTATTATTTGCTTCATTACATTAGTATTAAGATATTTACCCAGGAGTGTGTCTACCGGTAAGCTAGGATTCTCAACATTGCATTACGTAAGAACTACTTTAGTACACAAGGGAAACACAGAAACACGGTCAACAAGTTTCCAACTACCACATTACAGTACAGCACCGCGGTATCAAAACCACACGTCACCCGTACAGATACCCACGCAGACGCACGGGTGTAATCAGACGGGTATGACATATGAGCACAATAACGGTGGAGCACAACAGAACGCCAACCTTATTGCCTCAGGGAACAACACAACGTTTTTCACGCGCGAAACACAAAACAATAACTACACGGGGCATACGAATAGCGCACCACAGTACACGCCATACACGCACCCGCACACACAAGAGCGATCGGTACTAATACCGTACGACGATTTGCGCGCCGCAAGGTCCTCATTACCCGAGTACACAGGTACAAGGGCTGAGGACCCCGTCAGGTATATAGCGAATACAGAATCGATATTGGTGCAGGCACGTATACACCCCACGGGTTGGTGTAGGGCAGTCGAGCCACAATTAAAAGGAACGGCGAGTACATGGTACACATCTATCAAGGCGCTCGATCTATCCTGGGAGGAATTAAGGGTAGAATTTTTCGAAAATTCAACAATTCCGAAATTCAATCTCGATTGCGCCCAGGCATCGTGTCAACACGGCAAACGCCAAGACAATCGCTAACAGAATTTGTGCTGATTAAAAACCAGCTAGCGCGCAGCGTAAATACCGGCCTATCCGAACCGGAATTGGTAGGTATTATCGCCGGGCTAACGCGCGACACGTTCCGTACGCACATACGCCTACACCGACCAGTAACGTTCAGCGAGCTGAGACGCATCGCAGGTGTTTTGGACCCGGCAACGGATAAAAACCCGCCAACTCAACAATGGACCCCTAGGGCTAAAAAAGCCCACCGGTTAAAAAAAAAATTTTCACCACAAACACAGAAAAAAAAACCACCAGGTTGACACCGACGACCAGACAGTTCCCGTCGCGGTTAAGAACCAATTGTCCCGCTCGACCGATTGCACTACGACTAATAATGATACGCGAACACGCCCAGACAAAATTCCGACCCCCGCGGTCGAGCTCGAATTTCCGTCAGGCTTCGTAACAGCTCTATTAGATTCGCAGGCACAAAACTCGTACGTAAACCCGACAGTAGCCCGTAAATACGGCAAAACACCTCCCCACGGACCAACAAACACAGTCCGGATGGCGGACGGTTACACTGCAACAACCAGTGGCACCTCCACATTCGAAGCTAGGATAGGTGCACTCGAAATTAAATTCGAAGCTACCATCCTAGACAATTTGTATTGCGACGCGTTACTAGGACACGACTTTCTTGTAAACAATGAAGTCTCTTGGGACTACGCCGCATGCACAATCCACATGGGTAAGCAAATTCGAACGTCAACATGTTGGAAAGGGAAGTCCCAACCACCTGCCACTCGTCCCGACTTGTCAAAATTAGAATTCGGAAACGACCCCGAAACTCGCGCGAAACTAACCAACATTTTAAACAAATACGCGGTAGTATTCAGCGAAAAAGTAGGACGTACCAAATTAATTGAACACGAAATTTTGCTTAAAGACCCGTCCCCGATCGCGCTCAAACCATACCCATATCCGCAACAAAAACAAACCACTATCGACGATATGGTGCGCGATATGGAACTCCAGGGGCTCGTAGAACCTAGCACCTCACCGTGGGCCGCACCAGTAGTATTGGCAAAGAAAAAAGACAGATCATTCGGCCTCTGTGTCGACTACAGGTGGCTTAACGACGTAACGGAGTCAGACGCGTACCCTATGCCAGATCTCAACAAAATGATTAGACAAATGCGGGGCGCGAAAATTTTCAGTATTTTTGATCTTCGCTCGGGGTACTGGCAAGTACCCTTACACAAAAATGCACGAAAATACACGGCATTTCTAACACGTAGAGGGCTATTTCAATTTCGAGTTCTCCCTTTCGGTCTCAAAAATAGTCCACTGACTTTCGTGAGACTCATGAACGAAGTAATGAGGGGTACCAGGATGAGTTCGTACAAGTATACCTAGACGATATAGTAGTATTTTCAAGGAACGAGTACGAACATCATGTCCACTTAGACAAAGTTCTCGAGCGTCTCAAGAGGTTTGGACTAACGTGCAACACAAAAAAATGCAAAATCGGACTACGCGAAATTTCATTTTTGTTGCACATTGTAGACTCGGAAGGCATACAAAAGCAACCGGAAAAATTAGTCTGCATTGACAATTTTCTGGTTCCACGTAACGTTAGGGACGTACGAAAATTTTTAGGGGTATGCAACTGGTACAGCCAATTCGTAGACAACTACGCGGACACCATAGCACCCCTAACAAATCTATTGAAACAGGGGAATAGGTGGAAATGGACGGATGCCGAACAACGCGCGTTTAAGTCAATAAAAAACGCGCTAGTCACATCGCAGAAATTGTCCCCACCATATTACAACATATCATTTTGTCTCCAAACCGATGCAAGCGAGATAGGAGCTGTTGCGGTACTCTTCCAACGGGGTGACAGACCGGAGGAAAGACGCATCATATCCTACGCAAGCAAAAAGTTTAGCGAGACACAGACGAGGTACGCCGCGGTAGAACGCGAGTGCCTAGCAGTAATTTGGGTAACGGATAAATTTCGACCATACCTAGAGACCCGACGTTTTGAACTCCTAACAGATAACTCGGCACTAACATGGTTATACAGGGCCAAAGACAAAAATTCAAAATTAACACGTTGGTCACTACAACTAGCTAATTTAGATTTCAGTACGGTACACGTCCCGGGAATACAAAACGAAGCACCGGATTTGTTATTATTGAAACAGCAATTCAATAATTTATTATCATATTTAATATACCTAGTATTATTATTATTATTATTATTATTTTTTTTTTTTGAGGTTATGAAATTGTTGTTAAAGAAAAACATTACATTGCAAGTTTGCATTTTATCAGCAGTCTGTCAGTAAATTACTATTTTTTATATAAGAATATATAATATGTGTATTAAAATGAATCAAATAAAAGTGGTCTTCTCTTATTAACATTTCAACAGGTTATGGGCCCAGCCACGAATGAACTGCTAAGAAAAAGTTTTACTGAGTAAATATTATTGTAAGTTTGTTTTTTTTCTTATTGTAATATACTAAATATGTCACGAAGGGAAGACAGATACAATATAACACCATTTGAGGGAACAAATTTTCCAACTTGCCAATTTCGTGTAGAATCACTATTAAGGGCAAATGGGGTACTAGATGTTCTTAGTGCCACCCGCCCATTAAAAGCCGAAGAGCAAGTTGCGTTTGACCAGAGGGATGCGAAAGCTACAGACTTGATAATACAATGTACCGCTGACACTCATGTTGAGTATGTTCGGGGAGAATCAGCAAAGGAGATCTGGAACAAATTAAAAACTACATTCGAACGAAAAGGTACATCTAGTCGTTTATATATATTAAAGAAATTGATTACAATGAAATTTGATGATAATGAATCAATGGAAACTCATCTGAGTCAATTTGATGATTTACTTAGACAAGTAAGACTATCTGGTGGAAAATTAGATGATGATCTAATTGCATGCATGCTCCTTTTAACATTACCTGATTCATTCAACATGGTAATCACAGCAATTGAAACTTTGTCATCTGATAAAATAACACTAGAATTTGTGAAATCGAGGCTTTTAGATGAAGAAATTAAAAGAAATTCCAGATCAGACTGTTCAACAGGAAAGGATAACTCAAGTGTTAAAGCTACTTTTGGCACATCCACACATCGTTTTCCTTTCAAGTGTAATTTTTGTCATAAACTAGGGCATAAGATGCAAGATTGTTGGAAATGGAAACTACAACAAGAAAATACAAATAAGTCAGCCAATATGACTGAATAAAATGATTCTATAGCTTTTATGGTCTCTCCACACGATCATGTCGTTGACAATCATTTAAACATGTCATGGTTCTTAGACTCTGGTGCATCGGATCATTTGATTAATGATGAAAGTTATTTTAGTGTTTCAAGTGAACTGATTTCCCCAATAACAATCGGCGTGGCCAAGAGCGGAGAAAACTTACAAGCTTTCAAAGTAGGTGAAATAAATGTATCTCAGACATTAAATGGTAAAACTGTAAGGTGTGTAATTAAAAATGTATTGTATGTTCCGCATTTAAGAAAAAATTTATTATCAGCCGGGAAAATTGAGCAAAACGGTTTGTCAATTGTATTAAATAATGGTAAAGCAGAGATTCGTAATAAAAATGGACAGGTAGCTGAAGGTATAAGAAAAGGTACATTATATGAAGTTGTTTTTAATGTAATAAAATCAAATGCATATTCATCTGAAAAGGAAAGTAATTATGATTTATGGCACTACCGATTAGGTCACATGAATCATCAATATACAAATCGACTGAGTTCAATGGTTGATGGGCTGAAATTAAGTAAGCCTATTGATGAAATGTTTTGTCGGATTTGTGTAGAAGCTAAACAGTCTCGTTTACCTTTTAAAGGAGAACGAACTAGAGTTAGTAGACCCATAGAATTAATTCACAGTGATATATGTGGACCAATAAACCCACCTACATGGAATGGTAAAAAATATTTCAATACATTTATAGATGATTTTACCCATTTTACAGTTATCTATCTACTTACTAATAAAAGTGAAACGTTTGAAGTGTTTAAGGAGTATATTGCTATGGTAGAATCTCAATTCGGTACATAAGTTTCTAGACTACGATGTGATAATAGTGGGGAAAATACTTCAAATAATATTAAACAATTCTGTGTTCAAAAGGGAATCCAAACCGAGTTAACCATACCATATACACCAGAACAAAATGGTCATGCAGAACGTATGAACAGGACACTAATTGAAAAAGGCCGTGCACTATTACTTCAGAGTTCTCTTGGCAAAGAAATGTGGGGAGAAGCTGTCTTGACAGCAACATACCTCATCAACTGTTCACCTAGCACCTCAACATTTAATAAAACTCCAGCTAAACTTTGGTTTAAGAGGAAGCCAAATATCTCAAATTTAAATGTTTTTGGTTCTATTGCACATCTGCATTTGCCAAAACAAATAAGAACAAAGTTTGATAGCAAGTCTAAACAATACACAATGATTGGATATACAACACATGGCTATCGCCTTTGGTGTCAAGAAACAAAAAAAATCATAATAGGTAGAGACGTTATTTTTGAAGAAAATATTAAAGATCAAAATATAATCTCAAAAAAAAATATTGTCACCTATTATCCAGATAAAGAAGATGTCGAAGACAACCCAAATGAAGAGAATATTGAGGACATCAAAACACAAAGTTGCATAGGGCAAGAAAAGGAACAAAATGATAAAAAAAATTGAAGAGCAGAAAATTGATATAAGACCACAAAGGACCATTAGAGCACCAAATTACTTACAAGATTATGATACGTCCTATTTGGCAACGGCTTTATCAGCTGAAACTATAATAGACAATATACCGACAACATATGATGAAGCTCAAAGTCATCAAAACAAGAAGGAGTGGAATCTAGCAATGAAATCAGAAATAGAATCTTTACACAAAAACAAAACTTGGACACTTGTTAAAAAACCACCAAATAAAAATATAATTAGCACAAAATGGATTTTCAAAATTAAGAAGGATGGTGAAGGACGAATAATTAAATATAAGGCCAGACTGGTTGCCAGAGGTTTTTCACAACAAGAAGGACTGGATTATACAGAAACCTATTCTCCAGTAGCAAAACTCACCACATTCAGGTCTCTGTTAGTTTTAGCTGTTCAAAGAAATTGGCATCTTTACCAATTAGACGTTAAAACAGCCTTTCTACATGGAGTTGTGAATGAAGAAGTATACATTGAACAACCTTATGGTTTTAGTGAAAATATTAATCTGATGTGTCGACTTCACAAGGCATTGTATGGTTTAAAGCAAGCATCAAAGTGTTGGAACAATAGATTTCATACATTTCTAACAAAAATTGCTTTCATTAGAAGTAACACAGATCATTGTCTATACACTTTAGATTTTAGTGGACAAGATTTAATACACTTGTTATTATATGTTGATGACATTATTCTCGCCAGTGGGAGTATTAAGAGAATTAATCAACTCAAGTGTCGGTTAAAAGAAGAGTTTGAAATTGAAGATTGTGGTATTCTAAATTACTATTTGGGAATTAAAATTGAACATAATGTGGATAAAGCAGAACTTAAGATAAGTCAAGGTCAGTATCTTAAAAATGTTCTTCAGCGTTTCAACATGTCAGATTGCAAACCAAGATCCATTCCAATTGAAACCAAACTTGATTTATCCATTAACACATTTACAACTAATTGTAGTCACCCATATAGGCAGCTCATAGGATGTCTCATGTATGCTATGTTAGCCACTCGACCAGATCAAAGCTACTGTTTAAACTATTTTAGCCATTTCCAAAGTAAACCCCAAGAAGTTCATTGGATGTATCTAAAAAATGTTCTTAGATATATTAAAGGAACATTGGATTATTCAATAATTTATAAAAAAAAAAATATTACTCCAATACTCGAAGGCTATGTTGACGCAGATTGGGCTAATCATAAAGATAGAAAATCTGTGACAGGATATATTTTTAAAATGTATGGATCAATAGTTTCTTGGTCAACTAACCGTCAACCAACAATTGCACTCTCAACTACTGAAGCTGAATATATGGCAGCCAGCTATGCTACTTGCGAGGCAATATGGTTAAGAAATATATTAAAAGATTTTGGAGTTGAATTATCTGAACCAATAACATTATACGAAGATAATCAAAGTTGCATACAACTATCACAAAATCCAGGCCATCATCGTCGAACAAAACACATATATATTCGTCATCATTTCATCCGGGAAAAGGTTGAGGAAGGTGTTGTCACACTAAAATACATTACATCAGAGAACCAACAAGCGGACATTCTGACAAAAGGACTGCCAGTCAATAAATTCAATCATCTTGTCAAACTAATTATAAATTGAGTGGGAGTATTGAAACAGCAATTCAATAATTTATTATCATATTTATTATACCTAGTATTATTATTATTATTATTTTTTTTTTTGAGGTTATGAAATTGTTGTTAAAGAAAAACATTACATTGCAAGTTTGCATTTTTTCAGCAGTCTGTCAGTAAATTACTATTTTTTATATAAGAATATATAATATGTGTATTAAAATGAATCAAATAAAAGTGGTCTTCTCTTATTAACATTTCAACAGTTATCCCGCGACCCAGCACCGGGGGCACCCGTAGACGAAGATCAACTTGAGGAAAAGTTGGTAGGGGCGCCCGCAACGCCAACAACCAAAGTAGACCTCAAAACCAATCGTATCTTTTCTATGCGCGATAACCAAGTCAGTGACGACACACCGCTCACCGCGACGACTCTCCAAAAGTGGCAGTCCGAAGACGCCACGATTTGCGACGTAGTCGCCGGTCACAGAGGGGACGGCCCTGCGCAGAACACTAGGAGCTCAAAATCGGGAACAAACGCATACGTTTTTTCCGAAGGACTCCTACGCATAAACGTAGGCCCCCACACACCCGTCGTGATACCAAAAACCAAAGCGCAACAGGTAATATGGAGGTGTCACGATCACGTTCTGTCTAACCATCCGGGTTGGAAAGAAACATACAGGGCGGTACGACAACGGTATTATTGGAAAAGGCAAAAGAACGACGTAAGGTTATGTCGGGGCGTGCCACGTATGCGCGTGCACGAAACCGCTAAACTCACGCCAAACCAACCCAATACAACCTAGAACCCCCCGCCAACCATGGGAAGTTATCAGTGTCGATCTGATGGGCCCATACCCACGTTCCGGTAAGGGAAAATCGTATATACTGGTAGCAACTGACTGTTTTAGTAGGTGGACCGAGGCTTACCCCCTAGGAACAGCAACCTCGAAAACAATAATCGAAACGCTAGAACGCGAGTTTTTTTTACGTTTCGGTTGCCCCCGCGTGTGTCTCAGCGATAACAGCCCACAGTTTGTGTCAAACGAAATGTTAGACGCGTTAGAACGCTGGGGGGCACAAGGTGGGACGACACCAGTCTACCACAAATTCCACCGCATAATCCATTCTCCAGAAATAATTGAAAATCGTATTGTTTAAGCCGTTCTAGTCGGACATTAGTATGTTTCAACATGCAATCAAATGCAAGTCCTGGGGCGGTCATGTAATGTGAAGCATCTAATTTAAGTGTTTGCAAACAAAGATTTCTGAAATTTTCAAAAACGTCAGCAAGTAAACATACATCGGTTGCTAAATATAAGTCACTATATTCTCCTAATGTTTTTAAATTAAATCTTTTCCAAATCTTATGAACATGTGTATAATCTTCGTATTTTAACGAATTATAAAAGGCTTGTTTTGGTGGCAAACATATTTCATTTAATTTACTAGGATGATCAATATATTCATAAGGAAACACACCTTTACGTGTAACTAAATTTAAAGTTGACATAGAAAATATTTTTAAGGTTTCACTAAATATAGTTTTGTCATGAGATAAATTATCAGCTAATGAACTAAGAGACTCTGACATAAAACGAAATGTATCAATAAATTTTATATTAAATTTATCTTGAATTGATTTACTAAACGATATATATTTCTCTGATGAATTAGGTATTACATGAATATCATTTTCATTACAACCAAGTTCACGAACTATGAAATGACTGTCATAGGCTAAGTTATGAAAGTATATCGGTAGAAACGAAACGTTACTCAATTCAAAGTTACAATTTAAACAAACAACTGATCTGAAACGTCCAGTAAAATGATTATGATCTCTTTAATTAATTAATTTTTTTAAATAATTTGGAACAGCATTCACATATTTTGGAATT